TCGCTCTAAATAAAGCAAAACCGTAATTTGCGAGTTTGTTACAACAAGTAAAGGTGGGAAGGTAAAAATGATGCTAAATAAAAGTTACAACAATGCAAATCTTTGCATTCTTGAAAAGCCTGGATTGGATTATGATTCAGGTTAAGGGAACGACCGTGATAACTAGGGCCATTTATACGAGGAAAAATAAGACGCGTCTTATATAAGACGCGAACTGTACCATTTATACGAGCATGTCTTATCTATTAAGACACGTCTTAGCTAAGGCGCGTCTTATTTTAGACGAAATGTGTCGTTTATATGGAAAGTTCGCGTCTTATGTAAGACGCGTCTTATTTTTCCTCGTATAAATGGCCCTAATATCTTGGAACGGCTGGGATGAGACGAGAGTGCGACTGTCATGCGATGAAATTGCTTTTTTTGGCGTTATTAGAGTTCACTTTTATCCATCGCGAAATTATCTTACCTACAAAGGGTTGTAAGAAAACAAATTTTATTATTCAAGCTGAATATTCTTCTCCACCATTGATACCACTCAAGAGTTTCCACTGACACATACAATCAACGTCGCCATGCAATTCCAAGAAAGTTCCGCTTTATCGCCGGACCTGTTATTAACAGTTTAATTATTTTTCTGACAAGTTTCTTGGAATTCTAGTTTAGTAAGTCGAGCCTTTGTCATAACCAAATACATGTATATGTGATCTAACAGCCAACTGCAACGAACACTGCATTTAAAAAACCTGTACTGGATAACTCAATAGACAACATACTGGCAGACTAGTAGCTACTGGTACTTCTTGTTACCTTTTCCATGCGTTTAAAGATTACTCGTCATGAGTTTATCAAAGAAATTGTCCGCTTTGACGGCTGAATTCTGTCATTTACGGTCTTATACGAGTCACTCAGGCCTCTTGCCGAGGATGTAAGGGGAGACGAACGAACGAACGATGTATACTGTTGTCAATTCATGTTGTGGTGTTATAAAATTATACGGATTCGTTTTTGAACTGTTTGAATATCCTTCTTGACATGTTATACAAATTTGCCATATTTCATATTTTTGGATACTGTATTGTACACACTAACTATTACACACAAATTTGGTAGTAAAACCACTCAATCTTATCTTTAGAGGTCAGTATGGAATTATACGTGTTTTTTCCGTAGGATCAACCGCACCGAAGCAGAAAACTTAGAGGCGGCCGATTGTAGGACTTCTTGAAAACTATTCCGCGGCTTATGATTTAACGGTATATGTCTCCTCGTTTCTGCTTCGATCATGCTAAGAGATCACTCGCTATATCAAGCCATTAGTTTCTGAAAGATTCTCTCCGGCGAGAAGGCTGTATTTTTGATATTCAAGGTAAGAATATACAGATATCAAGGCCGAACAGGAAATAATACTAAATTTTTAACACCAACGACAGCGCCAAGCATATTGTTCAGTTTGTATCATTCGATATCATAGTAGGAACCACGAGCTTGTTGTCAATTCACAATGTATTCAGTAACCAAATCATTTTTGCGGTCACTCTGAAAACAGAATGCAGAGAGTGTTTAATTTCAGTTTCGTATCAACGATTCTTTATAGGCGACCGAGGCTTCCGAAGTAAATAATTTGGTTTGCCACGAGCAAGGCCTTGGTTAAAAAGTTTAAACAGTTACTGGCCTAGAAACCCAAAGACATTAATAAACACAAACTAAGGCGTTTGGCACAAGCTAGGCCTTGGTTCAAAGCAGTTACAGGGCTAGAAACCTGAGGCGGACCGTTGATAATGAACTGTTATGAGTTGCAGTGGCAGAGACTTTGTCACATTCATAAACTATCAGTACTGTAGCCTCACCAAGCCCTCGATGTCGGAATCGACAAGCCACACAGAGCAGATATAGATTTATAACTCATTAGTGCCAAGCTGTAATGCCTGGCTCCACTATTCTAAACGCCGCTTTATGGCTGGTTTCGAGATGTTAGAATTGGCATCCATCACGGTGAGCGACACAAAAATTGGCGTATTGCGCCGAACAAATGTAAGATTAAGAGTAAACTACGTGATGGAGTCATACTTTGGTCACTGAGCAACCATGCCGGACTCAATACTGCATGAATTGAAAGTACTCTTGCTTACCTCAAAGTAAAACGTGTTACAGTAGAAGTCGGAAAGATCAGGCGGAGCGAAGATATAACTTCTGTGAAGGTGTGGTTGAAAAGGCCGAGGAGTTATCGCTCTGCTTCTTATGTTTAGTTAAAGCCAACGCCCCACGATCTTGTAAGCATCTGATTGGACAATCAGGGTAAAACAATCTTGCACGTGACATCATGGCAGCTATGTGGCATCATGGCAGCTAAAAAATTTGTGAATAATTATAAAATTGTTTTGGGGGAAATTCGGATCATTTAAAACACCTTTGAAAAACACCTTCAACTTAAAGTATCTGTACGTATACAATAACACCGGAATATTCGAAGCCTGCATGTCAGTTTGCTCTGATCCTGGATTTGTTGTAAACGGAGCAAGACTGAGATGTCATGTTTACTAACCGCGGATTTGTCTTTCGAGTAACGCGGCAGTTGACCATTCTGGGAGTGGCTTTTGTGTACTTTTGTGTACTTTTTTGTGTTACTTTGCGCATAACCCTACGCGTACTAGTCTGCCACGGCTGTGTAGAAAATCTGATTTCCGTCCTGAATACTATTAGTGACATCAAAATATGCAGTTTACAGCTGTAAGCCAGATGAAAATCAAATCATCCCTGTCACTTTCCTATGAGAGTCCCAACCCCCATCCACCCCTACGCCGGAGGCGGTTACCATTCAGGGAGACAGTTATTTAGCGACGTAACGCCATTTCATCTCATCTCTTGCAAAAGTTTTTTTCTTCGATGATATGTCACAGTGTTTGCCTTATTATGACAATTATGTCGCAAGATGATTAAGAGTGCAGGTAAAAACAGGCGTTATTTTAGCTCTGAAAAATGTTTTACAAATAAGATATGTAGTAGGTAGTAAATGACGATGTTTAATTTAACCAATATTTCTTAAACAAATCAAAAATTTATTCGCGCAGGTTAATTTTGCCTTGAGTACATCTAGAAAACAGGAAAGGCTCGCAGTTTGACTTATGATTATTGTTTTGTAAGAAATTAGAATCTACGAAGCTAAATTTCAGACATGGTGGGGTACATCTCACGCACTGCGAAGTGCTTTGCTTACAGACAGATAACACCAAGTAACTAAGGGTAGTCATATCTATCAGGTTTTTCTTCTTAATTCCTCTTTTTTGTGACTTTTTTATTTTATAATCGTATTGTATATCTGGCATGTTACATCAAAGACAAATGTTATCATTAGATTAATAGTGTCTTGTATTGTCATATCTGCATATTTTAAATGCAATGTTAGTCACTGCTGTTCTAGCCTGCGAGCAGGCTCACTTGTGCGAATTCCGAGGGAGAATTATTTTGCCGGCGGAGCCGTTGTCCTCACGCGATAGGGGCTCCGCCGCCAAAAATTTTCCCTGAACTTGCAGAAGTGAGCCTGCTCGCAGGCTACTGCTGTTCACGTGAAAATGAAACTTGGATAATGAGAGGCTCTCGCTAGTTAACACGAAATTTCCGATATAAAAAAAATAGCGAATTGTAGCCCTTATTTTACTATCTTACAAGTTATCACTAATCTTGAAACTCAAAGATCATATAAAATTACGGTTTATCTCAAGAATCTCAAGTTAGTTGAAAAATCTTTCGAGCGGTTCTCAAATTATTTACCAAAATGTTTACGTAACCGCTAACAAGAGCGCCTCGATACATACTATTCTTCTTTCTAGAAATCGGCTAAAGCTACCTCCATGATTTTTCACACACGTGATTAAAAATGAAGAAACTACTATTAACTATGAGGGGAAGTTTCATTTCAAAAGCGCTTCGATTTAGACAGATATATAACGGCCGAACATCAAGATTGTCTAGTTTTAAATGTATTTCTATCATAAAAACTTCATCCCAAAATAGTATCTCTTATAGATTTTGCTTAAACTTCACAAACATCGAGGCGGCTAGCTATTGGAGGAAAAAGCTCTCGTGAAAGATTTTGGAAGAAGAGTTCCCAGTGCCGAGAAATACGGCTGCAAGTAAAAAAGGAAATAACGTCATTTGGTTGCTATGGCAACTCCGATGCCATTGTTACCCTGATCAATGCAAATGTTCATCATCATCTAATACAGCTGTGGCGGTTATTTTTCCGAATCTTTGTAAATGGCGATGTATTTTATGCCCAAACTTGGGAGGTATTAACCCTGAAAAACTCCATAAGTTTCCACCTTAAGTTGGTTCTTCCGAAGCGTCTTGGGGGTCAGACCATTTAATTTTGACGTGTTTAGGGGTTTGGTTTCAGGTGAAGGTTAGTATTGTCGACAATTTGTTTCATTAAGCCTACTAAAGTGACAAGTTTTGTTCGCGTAAACACGACTATTGACCCAATGCAAGACGTTTTTTCGCCACACGTCGGATAGCAATATATATTTTTTCTGAAATCACTCAACCCCCAAAAGACCTTTCCCACAGTTGCACACTAAAAGTTACTTCTAATCGATTTTAACTGCTACAAGATAAATTATGCAGCACTATGACTACTATCTCTTATTTAAGGAAGAGAACGTCATTTTTGTGGTTGGAGTGGTTTATGTCCCACGTCGGTTTACCACCTCGGCATAAGTACCTAAAAGCGAGTCTTCTACATCCTCTACTTGTGATTTGTCTCGGCTCGTCCCTTCGCTATCTAAAAATATTATATTATGAAACGATAACTCAATAATGTTAACTGGTATTTTTTCACTGATAGCCGCTCATAGTTTAAGCTTTACAAATATTCCTCTTTCTTCCTCTGAGAACTCATATGTACATGTGTCTTCTCATTCCTCTTACTGCTTGGAGATGTTTGAATGTCATAATGTGACACCCTCGTGTTGTCCTCTGGTGTCGAGCAACTTGTTCGTTTTAAGTTAGGGAAGATATGTGCCGTTGGATAATCCATTTGTTAAGGGTTCTTCTTGTAATAACTCTTTGAGCATTTTTACGCACATGTGCAGGCAGCGAGGAACATGAAAGCACCCTGAAACGGTCCAAACAAATAATTAACTTGATTTTGACTTGGTTGTTGAAAGACAGCAACTGATTCCAATTGTCTCAATTGTCAGTCACTATAAATTGGTTTTAAGTACGTAAAATTATAAGAGACGTCCATATTGTTGCATGGTGATCATCAATAACAAATGCAGAGTAGCATTATTCATGAATACACAATTCAGATATTACACCTCCTTTCCTGCTATTGACAAAGATACAGGGAATGGTGTGTGTGTTACACGCATCAGGCGTTCAGATAGTAGAGCGCGAGAGTTTCTCCTCTCACCTTCAGAAATTCATTAGAGATCCTCCTCTGGAGTTGTGGAAGTAGGTTTTACAAGGAGAGGTACGTATATAACTATAACAGCTTAGTTGGGGAAATATTCCTCCCAGCCTACGTACCTTTAAACGGTCCTCCTTTGAATGTATGTGTAACCTCGCCTTTCTGGTTGAGATATCCAAACCACTCACCATATTTGGGGTCAGAAAACTGTAAGCAACAGGAAAAGTGATTTTAATAAATCTCACGAAATGTTTCCCGGTTTAGGCACGTAGCATATACGGAATTTGCGATGTTTCCAGGTTAGAAAGTGTAAGGGAAATTAACGTTTGCAGGGGACTTTGAAAGGTGGATCCTTCTTTCGTGATTTACTTGTCATCTGTGTGTATAGCATATATTTAAAAGAGTGTAGATAGAAAGAATCAACTCAGTCTAACATTCTGTAATATTTTGTGTTCTGCGTGCCTCAAATAATTTGCACACTGAAATCATCTACCGTACTTGATTTTTTCATGCCAGTGGGATGCTCTTTCGAGAAAAGTAATTTCTGTGATTAGTCTCGAAAGGGCAAATCTTCTCGACCAGGTTTGTCTGGCGGCGGCAGGACTAGTTCATGCGGTGGAACATTTGACTGAAAGGCGGGCGATCGCGAATTCGATTCCCGGACCAATACTTAGGATACGGTCTTAGAATAACTGAACATACTGCCTCTGCAGCCTTTGTCCTGCAAACAGCTAGACTTCGTCTCGCTTGGATGGCCACGTAAAATGGCGGGCCTGTCTCTGGTACGAGACGAAAAACAGTGTCCTCGATTTGTTTTTTCCTGCTAAATACATTAACACTCAATTGAAGAGTGTTTTTTTTACCTCCTGTACCCGCCTCAATAACAATTATGCATGTCTTACGTGAGAGAATGTGTACTGGAACACAAGATCAAACTTTTCCATGTAGCGATAATCTCTTGTCTCTTTGTAAGCCATCAGAAATGCAATAAGAGCTTCGGCATGAGGCCACCACAGCTTCATGTTCCATTCCAGCTGAGTTGGAGAGAAACCATTTGCATCCAACATGTAAAGAAGGCCTCCATACATGTCGTCCCATCCTATCTCAAATGACTGCACGATGAACTTGTCAATGGCGATTCTCGCCAGTTCGTAGTTCTGTTTTTTGGTAGCATATTGCAGGAGAAACCATCCTGCTTCAATAGCATGGCCAGGAATGATGAGCCGGCCTTCCGCACCTCCGATCTCTTTTCCTTCTTCTGTAACTTTTTCAAGCACCACTCTCCCTCTTCTCTGAATTAAAATCAATTTACAAGGAAACCAATTTCGTTAGAAAAAATGTTCATCAAATTGTTGGAAATTTAAGAGTAAATTGCAAATCTTTCCTTTCAAATCGACCATTCACAGATGAATTCAGAATGCACAAGACTTAACACGAATATGTATATTTCCTAACTAACAACCAGACACCAGTTGTTCAAAAGTTAAATAGTGCTCTCGGCTGGATAAATCTCTATCCACTGAATATGTATGAGGATAGCCAATCGTGGTAGTGATCTACTGTCCATAGGATAGCAATATCACCTTTTGAACAATTGAGTTCTCATTAAACTCTCCAATTTTCCTTTTTCAGTATTTGGCACACCAAGATTTACCCTAGTGCCGACTTTCGATTGCGATAATTTTTTGCACAAAACAAAACTTTGACTTAATAACCCAACCTCGTCCCCAGGGCTTTTCTCTTATAAAAATTGTTAATAACCAGTGGCGGATCAACGGGTGTGGCCTGCCCGCTGCACTTTTTTAGATCAAAACCAAGGACTGCGCGACATCAGTACCTGTAAGTGTTTTAAGATCTGTTGTACAGCCCACTCTTCATCTTCGCTGTAAATGTTTTGAAGGAGCTCCTCGTCGCGGCAGACCTCATCAATTACATACAGCACCATCATGGGTACGGCGAGCGGGTTCACTTCCTCTTGACCGGACAATTTGGGTCGTCCCAGCTGCGTGTCATCTATGCGTGCCCAGTGGGTGACAAGAGATAACATCTTTATTGCTTCTTCCTGACATAAAAAAAAACGCTATACTTAGTGCTATAAAATTCGCCCGCGAACAAGATCTCTAATTACCGCTAAGTTGTTTCACACGAGAAGGGTGGAGGGATTTAAGGCCCGAGCTACGGGCGAAGCGAGTCGAGCAGCAACGTATAAAATCCCTGGTCTCTTGCTCTCGTGCTTCCTTGAAGAAAAGTAACATTTGTGGCAATCCACTGGCGAATGATTGAGCAGCAAAGTAAAAGAGCACTTGTGTGTATAAAGAACAGAATCAGCTGTTAAAATATGTGCTTCGAAGCTGACTTATTAACAGAACTTAAGGACAAATTCTTAGTAAATTATACCCTATACTTGGGAAGATTGCTAGCTCTTGCCAGTTCAGCCATTGCAAGAGTGTAAAAGCACTCCGTGAAAACTGTCCTTTGGATTTTAATGGGCTGCCCTTCGGCTGTGACTTGAAAGTAGCATCTACCATCCTCAGGTCTCTTGATGTGATTTAGAAGGAACTCGCCTCCTGCAATATAAAAAGGTAGAATTGTGCAATCAGACTGGGATTTGTCCTGACAAAGTTCTAACGAGAATTTAGAATTATCAGCAATTGAATCACTGTTCTCCTCACACTCATGATAACAGTCAGACTTCACATGGGACGTGGAAGTTGTCGACTTTACAGAGTATATGTCACGCCATTTTTCGACTATTTTAGTAAATTTCCACGCTTCCAGAACGATCACAGAATTGGCTAAAATATCTACACAACTGCTTTAAATTGTAGAAGAAAGCAATAGAAATCAATGAGGAAAGCCCAAAAAGGAGTATGAATGGGTAAAATCGTGGAGAAGACTTTTTTCATGTTGGTATTTCTTCATTTTATCTGAAGGGCTGTGTTACAATACTTGGAAATCATCCATATATGTTTTCTGACCATGACAATTTATAGTTTAGAACTCGTAGTCAACAAAACTAGAGAAAAAAAAAACAGCATTGAAAATACCGTAACGGATGATCGAAAAAGAGTTTTTAAAATTACCTGACAATGCAGCTTTGAGTATTTTTGCAGTACCGTATTGGTCAGTTTCGTTGTAGAGCTTGGAGTACATCCAGACCTATAAAATAAAAACAACAACAGCAAAACAAAAAATTACAAAAATGTGAAGAAAAAGCTATATGACTCTTGCGAGCAATATGTGTTAACATAACTTAACTGCAATCAATAAACGCGAGGTAAATGTGAGTATGAAAAAATAAGATCTTACCTGCCTTCCTTCTAACCAACCATACTTGGTACCATCATACACCTTGCCATCTCTAGCGAGGCATACGTAATAACCACTGCAATTAAGAATGAACAGTTACTTGTGATTAAAACAACCGATATAATGATGAACCAATCAGAAATCAACACAAATTCACGTGACTTGTGCTTAAGGCGGGAATGCCGTTAAATTGAACTGCGATTGGTTTAAGAGGGATCTTTGACCTGATTGGCTGACACGTTGCACGAATTTAAGTGTGGTTTCTATTGACTGGTAGGAGTGTCTTTTCTTTTAGGCAAGAGGACAAGCTGAGTGTTCCGGCGAGACTTGAGAGAGTTACCGAACTGAAAAGAAGCTCACTCGCTTGTAATATGCTTTCCCGCGCGAGAATTCCGAGAAATATATAATGAGTCTATACTGGGTCACTACAAAGTCCCTAGCAGATTATAACATATTTCAGCATTTTAAATTTATAAAGAAGAATCAGTTGTGGACTCTAGCAAGGAATATATATCATTTTAAATTGCCAGATTACTGAAATCAGAGCATCCAACTCAATCGTAAATGTAAAATTGAACAATTTCAAGGTAAAAATTAAAGAATGCTACATACTTAGCGTTGCATTGGTGCGCTTGAAATTTTAATAAATTATACAACACCAGGTACAAGTTATTCACGCCTTATTGGTTTTCGAAATTTGCTCTACAGTCGAATTTCCATGTGTGACTACCTTCCATAAACGAACACTACCTCTTCACATTTTTGGGTGGTCGGGAAGGTTGAACTGTATTNCAGATTATAACATATTTCAGCATTTTAAATTTATAAAGAAGAATCAGTTGTGGACTCTAGCAAGGAATATATATCATTTTAAATTGCCAGATTACTGAAATCAGAGCATCCAACTCAATCGTAAATGTAAAATTGAACAATTTCAAGGTAAAAATTAAAGAATGCTACATACTTAGCGTTGCATTGGTGCGCTTGAAATTTTAATAAATTATACAACACCAGGTACAAGTTATTCACGCCTTATTGGTTTTCGAAATTTGCTCTACAGTCGAATTTCCATGTGTGACTACCTTCCATAAACGAACACTACCTCTTCACATTTTTGGGTGGTCGGGAAGGTTGAACTGTATTATACTCCTCAAAACAATGCAAATACAGCTCACCAGGGTAATTAAGACTCAAACATAAACAGCAGAAAACAATCCATTGTTTTTGTCAATTAACTTATACCTCGTTATCAAACACGAAGTAATTTTTAGTAAAACACATGATCGAAGACCAACTACCAGTCTTCGCACGGGGTTCGACTCGCTTGGCAAATCATCCATGTCCTCTTAAGTCAACTAACTTAATCATGTTTGTTTATGCCCGGCTTACCCGTTTCTTATATCACGGGAGTTTTCCAACCAGAAGTTGACAGTTCTGTCGAGTTCTTTTTCCATCGTCTCTAAGTAATTTTCCAGCTGATCGCGGCTCACAGCCATGACTGATGTCCCACCCGTACGACTTTTAAGATCTGCCAAAATGAAATGGTTAGAATAAGTTAAATTTTTCTCCTATAGCAATTTAAATGTAGGAATTAAACAACCTGTACGATCGTGGGAACATGTTAGTTTTGGTTTAAGCGTCGTCTTTTAGAATACTTAAGTATCACTCGGTCTATGAGTACATGTAAATTTTGAGTCTTGAAAATTTTTCTAAACTTTTAAATGAAAAGCCGTTACTCACTAATTCCTTGCAAAACAGACTGCCTACATTTTTTATAAATTAAAAAGAAAAAAAAGAATACGATCAGAAGATAATCGGCCAATTAAAGCTATCTGCTACAATATTTAAAAGAGATTCTTCCGTGTGTAAATGTATTAAAAACATATATAGATGCAAGGTACAACCTAAAAGTCTTATGGTCGTGGGAATATGTCATTGTTTAATCAATCCCGGAGATTATTTTGTTGAATTAAATGGTCTCAATCATATCTTCTTCAAAACGTTTCGTCTATATTTTGTCCAGTCTTCAGTGACACTTGTCTAAGCTGATGTGGTTTTTTAATGTTTTCCTACGGAATTGAACGATTGATTTGACAATAAAGCGCATCCTTTACTTTTTGGCGTGATTATTTTGTACAGTTTCATAACAACCGACTGATCCAGCAACAAATAACAAAAGAAAAGGAATTTAACAACAATATTATTAAGTAAAAAAATTCGAGTCTTCTCAAGTCTTGATTATAGAACCTCAAAGCCAGTTAGTCAAAACAAGTAACTCAGGAGCAGATACCAAGATCACGATATTCATAATTTAATTTTTTTAGAGTGTATGTTAGTAAAAATAGCACCATTTTAAAGAATTGCTAGAAAGGTTTGATTTGAATGGTGACGCCACAGGATCTCGTCCATAGTCTTTAAAGTTAGTACTTCATCATAAATGTCTCTGTAATTAAGTATCTATAATTAACAAGGGAAGTGAAAAGGTTCAGCGAAGAATTTTAAAAATGTATCAAAACGCGCACACTCACAGCTCGAGGCTAAAAACTCTATATAGCCTTTTAAAATTAGCTGTCTATTATACTTTCTCTTCAATTTGTATTAAGCTTACAATTAAGTCAGAGATATTCGAATGAGCAGTTCAATTATACATTTAAAACTACTTGAAACTGATGACGTAAATACTTGTCAAAGAATGTAGTTGTTTGTAAAATGGAAGTTGAAGCAAGCCTTCTTACGCTCGAATGCTTGAAAAATTTCTAAAACTTTTATTTGTTCTAATCACGCGATTATTTGAATGCTAATTGTTTCCGTCGTTCGCCGGGTCTCTGTATAATCCCTGTAGAACAGTAAGGAACGAAACTTCAAAAGTTCGATGAACAAGAAATACAATTTNGAATTTTAAAAATGTATCAAAACGCGCACACTCACAGCTCGAGGCTAAAAACTCTATATAGCCTTTTAAAATTAGCTGTCTATTATACTTTCTCTTCAATTTGTATTAAGCTTACAATTAAGTCAGAGATATTCGAATGAGCAGTTCAATTATACATTTAAAACTACTTGAAACTGATGACGTAAATACTTGTCAAAGAATGTAGTTGTTTGTAAAATGGAAGTTGAAGCAAGCCTTCTTACGCTCGAATGCTTGAAAAATTTCTAAAACTTTTATTTGTTCTAATCACGCGATTATTTGAATGCTAATTGTTTCCGTCGTTCGCCGGGTCTCTGTATAATCCCTGTAGAACAGTAAGGAACGAAACTTCAAAAGTTCGATGAACAAGAAATACAATTTCGGGACCCTGGCAAAACTAATGCAAATTTTCAATTAACAGAAATATACTCTGTTTTGCAGAGACAGGTCGATGAGGCACAATGCGATAAATCGAAATAATTCGGTGCCATGCTTCTTAAAAACTCGAATTCAACGCATAAGCAAGGACTAAGCATGCACCAAATTATTCAGCATTCATTTTCTCGGTTGTAATCTTAAATTTTCGAGCTTTCTACACTACATGTATCGTGGTTCAGTAAAAAGAAAGAAAGCGCCAATAGGAACGTTTCATCCTTTTCTGGTTTGGGCTGTTACAGCTGCTGTTCCACTGAAACTAGTGGCATCATTACTATCCTACTTTACAGCCAAATGCCTCATAAAATATATTGCAAAGATAGCTTTAACAATCTTCAGGAAATTACATTTCCTTGTCGTCTACTTAGTTGAAAGCAAAACCGTGCAACGTAGAATTGCACCTCGATGTAAGTCTTTTTCCCCCGAAACCACCGGTGTTTAGGGAGCTTAGTGTTCTCCTGATTCACCTTACCTTCAAATTGTCAGTTCCAACTAAGCTTTACAGACACTGGTGAGACGCAAGTTTTCTGTAAAAACTGGTGAACTGTTTAGGCGCGGAACACTCTGTCACCAGTTACAGGAGATTTCAAAACAACGCAACTGAAATCGAAGCAAGCTTGTAATATTGACCTTTTGCTGCATAAATCGTTCAATATGGGTTTCTAATTTTATTACGCATCCAGTATCATATTAAATATGGTAATTATAGCGTGTTCGACTCATGCATATCCTTAAGGTTAGCATGGGGTCGTACAACAATGATACGCCACTACGATAAATCAAGTGAAACGATCGCGAAAAAGTAGGTCATCATTTAGGTCACTTTCAATCGCCAGTTTTACAATCCTAGTAACGTTATGAAGCGCCAAAAGCGTGCCAAAATACAGGCAAAAAATATAACAATCACATAAAAAAATTGTTACTTTGTGAATAGGAAAACGCTTTTTATTGTCCTGCCGTCTTGTTTTGATTTTCAAGCCATCTCCCCCGTGTGTTCTCTATATTTGCACAGTGCAATAAACCACCCATCTATATCAGGCAGCCAGTGACGTCATCACACTCAAGAGTACACCGTCTACATCATCAATTCCTTGGAGATATAACAAACTTTGGCTAGTCCCTAGGCCTCATTATTCCGCGCGGCCAAAGCGTTTCGGGTCACGCGGTCCAAGCGAAGTTGTGTTCCCCGCCCGTTCACATCGGATACGTCACCGAAGGGAATTGACCGAGAGGACTGGAAAACGCCGTATAGGCTTGGAGTAGGCAATGGGCATATTAACATGTTTCGAGTGTATGTAAACTGGTCTAAAACTCAAATACCACTTCCTTAATATCAGTCAACCCACACAGGACTTCACAAACCCATTACCTCCAAGACTAAAATACCTCTAGAAACAATTTGAAGAAATATTTAGGCCATTTCCTTTCATTGGTATACATTATATGGTTTTTACAATAAAAACTGAATATGATAAAGGAAGCTAACTAACAACATATTCCACTTCGGTAGAAGAGAAATGTGCTTCCGAAGTATGGCAACCAAACTTTATTTGACCATCAGATGGTTTTTTTTACGTCCATGCGTCTGATGTGTTGTTTGCGTCCCTAGACGATTCAATCGAGTAGAGATGAGCCTAAACGGCATGAGACGAGTGACCTTTTTTCCCAGGAACCCAAATGTGAACGCAACTGAACTTGGACATGAATATGAGGCCCATTCCGCGAGGATACTTGAGATGCT